CAAGCCTCTGTGGTGGATAGTGATACAATTGATACAAGTGATACAGGTGAGGGCCAATAATCTGCCCTCTGCCTCGGAACCAACCCCCCATCCCCGTGTGCCCAGCCATCTTTTCTACTAATGTAAGTGTTAAAAACCCTAATATTATTGATATTTCTCTTAATTATTAATTGTGTGTGCATACCATCATAAAATTAAGAAGTTATTTTTACTACAACGTAGGTATTGTGTCTGAAAAAGTGGAGTTCGGGGGTCGGCCCAGTCTCTATTTCAATTAATCCCATATGTTATGTTGTTCACTTTACGCGGGCCGCCGTGGGTTGAATTAACCGCGTAAAGTGAGGGTTCACTGTACTGTATTATGTGTACAGTATTATTACTGATATTCAATGAAGCCCTTGTACTGTATATCTCCATTGTTTTGACCACCCCTTCAAGGGCTCTTCCTTATAGCACTCTTAGGAATGCATCATGAGTCCCTTTTAAAAGATATGCTTGTACAGAATAAATTAATACAAAATATAAAACCATATAAAACATAACAGCACAATCAAACTAAATCACAAGATAAAAAAACATTCTCCATGACATGTGAGAAGAAGTTCACTCACAGACAAAGAAGTTGAACCACCTCCAGATGACGAGTCTCCGTATGAGGTAACAAGCTCCACGGAGGGGATCAGGAAGGTCATTGAACCATGGCTCGGGTGGTTCATACGGCCTCCACTTGAATCCACATATTTCGTATATGTTGTAAAACTCGGTAAGACTTAAAAGACCAGATTCAGACCTATTTAAGGCTTTGAATATAAGGTAGGAATCTCGGTGACCTGGGAACAGTAAAGACAACGTAATTTAAAAATGCTTATTAAAATAACAGTACCTGTACAGTAATAATACAATCAGTAACAATACTGTACTTAATTCAAACTTACACCATCAGCATACTTTTAATAGCCAATGGGTTTTATAGCTGATATATTCTGAAAAATTTTATGGAACCCAATTTTAAATTAATTATCTTTACTGCATCTCCCACATAAAAATAAAATATAATTTAAGTAATGCACATGAACAATAATAAATTTCTTCACTCCTGTAAATTTATGATAAAAATGTGCTTAAGCTGAATAATTAAGGTAGATTGAATATTTATATATAGTACAACATTCTTTACCATACAAGATGTGTGTTTTGATGGTTGAGAATGTAGGCAAAAGAAAACCCTCCCATTAATATAATTCCCCTAATAATGGACAAGGTTTGCATGAATTAGTCTGGTATTGAGAGGGTTTACCGTTATGTTATTTGTAGTGGCATTCATGTACACATCCCACACCAGTGACCCAATGCAGGGGAACACTTCGTCAAAATTGTGTCACAATACAAAATACCCTGTATTGTACTGTACACTGTAAACACTTGTTGTCTCGTGACAACACAGTGGTCTGACTACTGTAATTTAATTTTTCTGGGTTTACACTACACATTACAGTATTGAGTTTGTGCAATAAAAAATAATGGGAGTAATTCAGGGTGCCATTGTAACGTTGAATTGGGTTATATTGACAGTCTTCTGTATCAAAATTTTCACATTATTTACTTTCTGAGTGCCTCTTGGTCCTATGCATTTTGGATTCCTGATAATCAAGTGAACAATAATTGCACTTAATATAGAAAGCTTATGTATGTATCCCTAATTCACATGACAAATGAGCCCAAAATATTCAATATAATGCTAAACTTTTGTAGTACATTCAACATATGAACACAACCATCAGCACCCACTAGTATGAGGCCTGAAGAACTTGAGAAGTCCCTGGAAATGTCTGAAAGGAATATGTGTTGGCTGTGACCTCGTCACCAGCAACCGGAAGGAATACTGGCAAGCTCTTCGTTTATGTACCAGCAGTTTTCTAAACTTGTCTTTCTCAATGTCACTAAAAACAACAAACACCACAGCAAGCATCTGAAATAAATAATCACAAACTTTGAAAGGTGACTAGACCAATGGTGTATGAAAAAATATAAAACTGAAAAAAATATTAATTCTACTATAATATGAATCATTACTTAAACATCAGGTATGAACAATATTCTTTAAGAAAGAATGTTCAGAACTTCCTTAGTTCTCAGGAACATTGACTTATGATATTTTCAATAGTGACAACATTTGTATTTCATATTATATGAAGAGAGAAAGCTGTCTTGATAAAATATTTATACTAAAATGATATAACAAACTTTAGAAAAGAAATGCTCATTCAAATATGTTTCAGTCATGACCTCCAGGAAAGCATTTAATAAGGCGGCTCAGCAGAGAATGATGATCTTGTTAAGGAACACAGAGGTTTACTGATGTCGTCAAGAGGTTTTATGATGGGAGTACTGTAGTGATATGTGAAATATAATGGTGGGATTAATGAGAAAAACTGGGGAAGCAGTCCCAGGGGTGAGTGCAAAGTTACCTTCATTTTTTCATAGTTTTATGACTGGAACATTAAGATAAGTGAGAGTAATAATGGGTAACTGTGGATATAAATAAGACACAGTGTGGATGCTGTCACTGATCTACTGTACTTGTATTGAGGATGATGCTGTGCCATTAGTTAAATCTGAGGGAAATTGGAAAAGAATGGTGTTAAGTTTTGATAAAGTTTGTAGATGAAGAATGTTAAAGATGAATGCTGGAAAATGTAGAGTAATAGTGTTTGAAAAAAGACAGTCCCAACGTAATGCTCTTATAAATGAAAAAAAAATGAAAGTAGAGATTAATAATCAAGTTATGCAAAGAAGAACACAGAACACATGAGTCTGCATTTAGTGGGTTAATGAGGGATGAGAGTTGTTTGTTCAGACGCAGTGCGCTGTATAGCTCTGGAAATTATTCATAAATAAAGGCTGACAACAGTACAGTACATATGGATAATCTATGAAATATAATGAGAGTTCATATAATTCATAAGGTACAGAGTAAAAATGCAAGAAAGGTGTATAAGTAATCTCATTTGTGAATAGATGGCTGCCCACTATGGCCACACAATATGCACAACAAGTAAGGGACGAGCGAAGAAGTTTCATGACACCTGGTGGGAAGTAAAACAGTGCATGAAAAAGATGGACTTACAACATAAGTGAATTAGTGAGGTTCAGAGGTGTCACATCAGATAATACTACATGAGAGATTGATCCTGAAATCCAGTTTCTTAATAACCATGAATCAGGTGACTTTTGTACTTACACTAAAAGGCTAGTGGGTTAGCCTCAAGGTTTCACAGGAATCCTCCATTTGCATAGATCACCAGGTACCAATATACAAGAGTAGATTAAAAGCTTCCAGGTTCAGTAAATGACTCTTCCTAATTACTCCCTGTAGAAAGAGGCTGTTGTTGAGCTGGATGATGTCCTATCACTTTATATCATAGTTTTACAGGCACTCTGGCATAGCCCCATCATACAAGTGAAGGATTACCAGGAACCCTTGGAGTTAACTCACAAGCTCAATGCTGTGATGCAGTGTTATCAGTTATTAGAGAGGGGAATGTGGAAGGTCAATAGCAGAAACGTGTCACGTGTAATCATTGTTAGCTTGAATCAAACCCAAAATTATAGATTCACTTGTGCAAAGAGCTGTAGGTGGAGTGTTTCTACCTGGTGTGTCAGGTCTTTGCTGTCACTCTCTACACTGTTCTTGACTCACTCTCCCCTACCACTTCCTTGAGGTTTGTTTCCCTGGATCCACCCCAAGCAATATGTGGGACTGGAGGAAAGATACCGGTAGTAAAACAGTAATAGAATAATAGAGAAATGATTAAGTTAGCTGATGACAACTACCTAACTAACTTAAGACTAATTTTAGCCTTCTAATCCATGGTAATCATCATTATACAGCTCCTCCCCGACTTACGACCACCCGCACTAACGACCTGCCTCAGTCGTACCAAAATTTTGTAAATTACGTAATTTCGAGTCCCAAAGTCAGTACACAGACAAAATTTTTGTTTGTAATTCACTTTAAAATGGCTAGCAAGCTGAAAAGTGAGAGTTTTGTGGTGCTGAGAAGAAAAAGAGACACCCATTATAGATTTTATATGTATTATTTAAGCATTTTCGACTTAAGGCCATTTCGACTTACAACCTGGATTTGGGTCCCTCACCCCGTCATAAGTCGGGGACAAGCTGTATACCCATTACAGTGAATCCTCATTAAAGATCGAGGTTCAATTGCATAAGGTCTTTTTTTTGAGCAAGTCATTCTCAACTGGGGAATACTTAATATGGATGACCAGGACCCAGGAAACCGGAAAATCTTCAAAATTGGTTTGGTCTTGTTCCCAAGGGTCCCGGATTTGAGGGTCTATACCTGTACAGACATACAATTATTATTGTACTGTATGTGTAACACTTATTAAGCTTATTATCATTGTGTACACCAAAAGTAGTCATGTTTTGTGATATTTTAATACATTATGAGATGGATTTTTTCCATAACAATGCATCTCAGCTTTTGTAATGAGAGGCTGTGGGAAGTGACGTGATTTTTGTGTTGAAAATTACCACCATTTTCAAAGTCAAATTTTCATGTTTATCCCATATATTTAAAGGTCATAGTTTACAAAAGCCAATAAACACAAAACCCTCAAACACGAATGTTCATTGTGTGGGAGACTTAAAGTACCCACCATTAGCGACTCCTGACTCACTATGAACTAAAACAGATTACAGTTCTAAAAGAACGTGAATGACTAACCAGATTCATGAGGAAGTAGAGGTTGATGGCAAGGAATGCAATGAAGAATGCAGCACTCCATGGGTTCTTGGCATAAGCTGGCATCATCACATCTGGGAAACTGTCCATATGAAACACACCTTAAAACCACGAAAGCTAAGGAGAATATAACCTTAATTCTGAGTTATGAACAGAGCTGATAGGATCTTATTTACATCTGGCTGCCCCTTTTGCTGAATAAATCATTTTACAAAAGCCTTTCACCAGCATGGAACTATTAACCTAGATGAAGCCAGTCTGTGTGTTCCCTTAAGTAGTCCAGAGCAGGAGAGGAGCTGCATTAATTAATTCAAGCATGATAAATAATTGTCCATTATTCAATATACAAAGCAGGCAAGGTGATGGCAGCAAACAAACTTATGCAATACCATTAGCAGATTGTGTTAAGTATGTTTATGAGATACATGAACATAAAGATAATTATTGTGACTCACTTGGCAGTTGTCAGGAGAACGTAGAGGGAGACGAAGCCTTGTTGGAAGGTCGTGAAGTAAGGATTCTGTTGATTGGGGCTGAAGAAGTAAAACCCCAGCGTGGTGAAAATAATGAGGACGAAGAAGAGGATTCCCAAGACTTCAAGGATGGGAGGCACAGACTGAAGGATCTGCCGCAGAAATCTAAAGACAAAGGCGAGGAAAATGTGCATCAGTCAGTCCCGTATAACTCTTCAACATGCTACGAATATACAGACAAAATATACAATCTATACAATAACTACATTACAAATACTGTATACAACAACATGAGTCAAAGATAAAGGTGATTGAGATGAAAACTTTGAGCTAAAACTGGGAAAAGTAAATTGCCTAATACCAATCTACTTTCTCTTTTATTTATGGGTGTTTGAATGCGGATCATCTTAATATTCTCCACCCCAGCTTATTTTACCTAAATATTAACTACTGTAACACTATTTTGGGGGGAGTAGTGCTAGGTTAGGTTAGTGTTAGTTTAGGTTAGTATTAGGTTGGGTTTAGGGTGGTTAATCTTAAGGTAAAAAATACTGTGGGAGAGAATCATCAGGTGGTCCGAAAATACCTCTTGTACTGACCTGCGAACACCCCCTAAATATCTGCTGTCGACAAAGAAGATGGGGCGCAATGATCGGGTAACACGGAAATGAGTGTGGTCTCTCACTATCACGACGACCGCCTCTAGAATCATCACCACCCATGTCACGGACTAGAGAGAAGGTGATAAACACATTACCAGGTACAGTAGTCTCTTGTCAACCTAAGGCACATTAATAATCAAATGTCCACTTGTTAACATAATGTCCACCAGTTAAAATAATACCCACTTGTTAATATAATGTCCACTTGTTAACATAATGCCCACCAGTTAAAATAATACCCACTTGTTAATATAATGTCCACTTGTTAACATAATGCCCACCAGTTAAAATAATACCCACTTTTTAATATAATGTCCACTTGTTAACATAATGCCCACCAGTTAAAATAATACCCACTTGTTAATATAATGTCCACTTGTTAACATAATGCCCACCAGTTAAAATAATACCCACTTGTTAATATAATGTCCACTTGTTAACATAATGCCCACCAGTTAAAATAATACCCACTTTTTAATATAATGTCCACTTGTTAACATAATGCCCACCAGTTAAAATAATACCCGCTTGTTAATATAATGTCCACTTGTTAACATAATGCCCACCAGTTAAAATAATACCCACTTGTTAATATAATGTCCACTTGTTAACATAATGCCCACCAGTTAAAATAATACCCACTTGTTAATATAATGTCCACTTGTTAACATAATGCCCACCAGTTAAAATAATACCCACTTGTTAATATAATGCCCACTTGTTAACATAAAGTCCAATTGTTAATACAAATTACTTACAGCCTCAACCTTATAGATTTCTTTAATACCAACAAATCATTTAGGCGAAGTAAAGTCACCATTAATAATAGGAATAATATGAAATTTTACACACCATAAAAAGTCCACCTACTTTAACCATGGAGCGTTTGTGTTGCAGGAAGGTGCGGAAACCCAGCCATCGAAGCTGCATCACGATGGAGATCCCCAGAAGAAAGAGGCCGAAGAGCTCAATGGACCCGTGAACCCCTATTGGGACACCCTGAAGATAACACTCATTAATAAAACAATCCCAGGTGTATATATTTGGTGCTCCTATAAAGTGGTCTACAAATATATCTTTAGTCTAACATAACGTAACCTAACTTGACCTAACCGTACCTTACCTAACCCAACCTAGCCTATCCTCAAAGAAATCAATTAACCTCACGTGAAAGACTGCTGGCTGCTCTATGGTAGCCAGAGACATGAGCAGTAGAGCAGCACACAGATCCAAGGAATAAAACCAGTGGTTGTGTGTGACAATGTATGCAGGAAGAGCATCTCGATCACGTGGGTGGCTGTTGAACTTGTCATTATTTTCACCTTCCTGAAAAATATTTAGTGTAAGAGAAAATGCATCACACTTGTTAGGTCACGACATAAGTAAACATATACCAAAACATGTACAAAAGACACACAATCATTCTTCCATTATACAACACTAGTAATAACAGGAACCAAAAGCCTGGTTGCCCAGTACCATCATTGACAAGTGGCTACCATCTCACTGTACATATATACAGTGTAAGTGCCACTGAATCCATATGACTTTCTCACTGACGTATAGATAACAACGTGTAAATCTGAAGAAAACAATTACAATAAAGTAAACACATAACCTCATACATCAACACCCTTTCAACTTAAGCCCCAGTGAATGCTCACATAGTTTACACAGTATAAGCAAATAGTGTATACAGTAGTAATGTGCTCTATTACATGTGATCACAAAATACTAATCCATTTATAGCATTTTTAATATAACTTTACAGTGCTGTATATGCTTGATTAAACACAATGATCGATGTTCACAACGCCAAATCCATTCAACTGTAAAGGGTCTTGTCTGCAACAATTTTATACCAATAGCAATGATTAAAGACTTGAGTACTTTAGTGACCAAGTACAGTGGTCTATCTGACCTTGTGTTTCCTTTACTACCATAATACAATTTATCCCAAAGAATCCTCGCCACACTGTCTTTTATAATAAAGTTAAGTTAGGTATTGCTTCACCACACCTCTGGTTTGAAGAGTATTTCACCATATGAAAGGCACAAAAATAAACCAAATTTTCTTCTTATCAACTTGTAAAAGCTGTCAAAAGGCTACCAAATCCCTGTCCTGCCAAGATGTGGCAACTTCCTAATGGGCTAATACAGTACTGTACAGTACTGATATCTCTGGCCTGACTGGACATTGACAGCCTTGTACACTGACTTCAAGGACTCCACCACACACCTCTAAAAATATAGCTGCCTCATGGTAGTTCATCTCCCAACTGTTTGAGGTACATATGGGAGGAGTCTGAACCTGATCTTGTAGTTCCTGGTATTCACTGTTGTCGGACTCCATGCTGGTGTTGCCGTACTCATTTGGAACATCACCGTCTCCATCCCGGACACTATCAGTTGATGCTGAAGCTGTTAAGAAATTATAGAACTTAACTATGTATGAATATTAATAAAAATGTCAGAGTAAAACATTTTAGGTGTAATGAACACAAACGAATAATTTTCTTCAAAGTTAAGGTAATGTATTTGCTATATGCAAGGGGTACATAATGATTGTAATACATAGGACTGTATAATGACATATTACCACAGAGTACTTGATACAGCTGTCACACAACATTATCATAACACCTCACCTCACATGGGAATGACTGAAAAGTTAAGAGTTAAGTGCCAGCAAGACGAAATTTTTCCAACAGGTGTTAGATGTCAGACACTTCATGAATAAAAAATAAATAAGTGAAGAATAGCATAATCCCTACTTTTGTTATCAGGGAAGCTGCCATTACCTGTTGTGTGTGAACCAAGAGCCAAACAACATTTCATAGACATTAATGCTTTCATTAAATAAACATGTAAAATTGGCAGCAGCTTATATATTTATATAGTATTAATAATATTACTGATACTGTAATACAGTACCATTAATAATTAACAAGCCAAAATATAACAAAGATTTATGGCAGTCTACATATTATTAGTTCAGTGATTTTGCCTAAGCACCATTTCATACCTAAATAGCATAGACCTACCTAACCTGACCTAACTTACTAGGAATAAAAAGTTATATATTGGCATTTAGTTTAGGTTTTCTGGTTAGGATCAGTTTCTTTTTATGTATATTGTCAACAGAAGGATGACAAAAATGGTGGTCCAAGCAGCACTCACTGTATTCACTCATATATATAAAACGAGGGAAAACCAAATGTAGGAAATTTGCAATTCCTCCAACTATTTATTTCTCTACATGAGTTTAGAAACAAGTTTTCTTCTATTGAAAATTCCCCTAAAGAAGCTCCTTCCCAGGAGTCTGACGTCTAAGCTATTACAGTACATTAAAAATTTACAGAAGTGGCAGGGGAGGCTCGGGGAGGCTCTGGCCTCGATACATTCGGCAAAATAGACCTTGACAAAATTATCAAGAACAATGGAGGGATCCTACACAGGCACACTGGCCTTCTTCCTCGGCATGGTCACCTCTAGGTTGGGTGGTCGTTAGGAAAATAAGATAAACATCTTTGAGCTACTTTACATCTGATTTTGAGAATTTAAGAACAACGGTGCTATGTATCTTAAGTCTAGCAGTCTGACTGCCACTTCTTTTGTCAATTCGGTGTTGTATTTCCCGTTCCTCGCAAAGTAGTATTTCGTGTACCGTATTAAAACAAACGTTATAAAGAAAATCTTTGGGAACTAATATGTCTGAAGTGTAAATTTGAGTAACACCACTGCCCCGATTGTGTACACCTTAATTAAGTGGCATTTACATAAACTTGAAAACAATAGTAAGAATTGAAGGACAGAGTTCATCAGCTGACTCTGACGTTTTAAAGGCCTTTTTTAAAGTCAAACTAATTTCAGTATCAAAAGCTATACACATAAGTATAAATATAAGTCAATCATACCGTGAGTGGACTGATTATCTTCTGAGGACAGGAAGAGGCTGGCAAAACTCTCGCTGCGGTTCCTCACCACCTCCGCCTCAGACATGTTTGTCAACACTGGCCTCGACACTGTTGCCAACTCCGTGTGAGAAGTTCGCTACAGAAAGCAAATAACGCTAAGATTAGTTTACATTATCCATAGGTTTTTATAATACTTTTAAACGTTTGTAGCTTCCATATATAACTTTAGGTAATCAATAAATAAGATAGTTATTTTCGCATGAGGATATATCATTCTGAGTGGAGTAAAAGTATGAATTTGTCGACAGAAATAATTTGTGGGTAGATGGCCGGTCATTAGGTGCATAACTTAAGATAAGTAAGGTATAGATAAACTACCATTGCTTCAATTAAAATATTCATTTATCAATAAGGTAGAAAATCACTCCCTTCTCTTGCTGTAACTTCATCAACTAATATATCTTAATTCTAATTTTGAAATATTTTATATTACTAGATTTAGTAAGGTTGGGTAAATTATCCCAGTCCTTTGAAGCCATGAAGAACATTATATTAAACCTGTGTTAATCCTGGTACGGTCACTTAAGACGTAGTTACTTCATAATAGTGTTATCTTTACCCCTTATGAGTTGCTATTGTAGTGGATTCCTCCCCTACAAACGCTGTTTGTCACTCCGACCCCGCGAATTCCCCAGTGTATGCCTCGTGGTCTAGGTCAACCAGCGCCGCCTTACATGACGGAGGTCAACTATTAAGCCACGCCTACCTCCGCTATATAAGACGTGACCTCGTGGTGACCTACCTCTTTCTGGAGTAAGATTTTTCAAATCACCAACGAAGAAAACTTAAACTTTTGCATGACCACAGAGAGGGAAGTATCCAACCATATTTGGCAACCGAGACCCACGATCGACCTGAATACACTGGATGACATGTCCCCACTAAACAAACCAATCACGGTGGACGAAATAGTAAGAATAATCAATTGCTTTAAGAACAAGGCTCCTGGAGTCAGCAAAATAAATAAACTCATTTTACAGCAATTACCAAGCAACATGGTACTTCTACTAAGAAATATATTCAATGCATCCATAGCTTCAGGCTACTACCCAAAGAAATTCAAGACAGCAATTATCAGACTGATACCAAAACCGGGAAAAGCCCCCACAGCAGTAGAAAACTACAGACCAATCTCTCTCTTAGAAACACCGGGAAAAATTTTGGAAAAAATAACCACGATTAAGAACATACCTGGAACTGGAATACAAATGCAACCCTAGACAACTCGGATTCAGGAAACACAGAGGAACAAACACAGCCATAGCCCTTACAGTATATACGAAAGTATTGCAAACGCAATGCATAATAAAGAACAGTGCAACATAGTTTTAAGGGACGTGGCAAAAGCGTTAGATAAGGTCTGGCACTTGGGACTTAAATATAAAATAACCAATCAAGAACTCCCTAACAACTTCACTTCTCTACTGTGTAATTTCCTGGACAAGAGAGAAGCACACATTATAATAGGCAATCACAAAGGCCCAAGCTTCAGACTTTATAGTGGAGTACCACAAGGAAGTAATTTATCCCCAACTCTTTATACAATCTACACTTCAGACATGCCGCCACCAATACACGGTGAATACATCGCATATGCTGATGATGTCACCCAGATCATCCGCCATCCAGGCAAGGCCAAACAGATGATGGTGTAGTGGACGTCTCCCCTACAAACTGCGTAGCAGCCCACCACCTGCTATCACATTCCAACGTGCCGTTGCCTAGCAACGAAACTATTCACCGGCGACTTCTCGGGTTTTCCCAACATGACTCACGGCTGCTGGGTATATAAGCTCTGTCTCTCCATTGAGATTCATTCTGACCATTCTTCTTGAACAAGCAACACCTCCTCCTCCGCCGCTGCCTGGCGGTCCTCGCTCCCGCCAGCGAGCATGGCGACCCACCAGCTGTCCTTCTCTGAGTTTCCTCACCAACCAGCTCTCATTCTGCCCATTTTCCTGAACAAGCAACACCTCCTCCAGCAAGCTCCTAGCTGTTAACATTTATTCAACCAGGAGGCCAGCAACAGGCAACATCTTCTCTAACGAAGCTCCTGCACATCTACCTCCTTCAACACGCTACTCACAGAACGTCTTCTACTGAGCAGCTCCCCACCACACGGCATCTCCAGCACCAGACTGTCTATCATATAACTTATATATTATACAAGAAAACCACATTAGAGTTTCCTTCCATCCTGAGTGCTAGACAACATTAATCACTCGATACCCCTACAATGGCATTAAAAAACAGCTCGCGCCATAATACAAATAAATAATTACGAGAAGAAATGGAAAATAAAAACTAATACACAGAAACTAAAAATCATACACATTTCAAGGATAAACCCAACACCAATCACAGTAAACAACGAAGAAATACAATACTCAAACGAAGGAAAAATACTGGGGCTAACAATAACAAGAACCGGAATAAAGAAACACATAACAGAACGCAATAGAAAATACAACTACACCTATTTAAAGCACTTGTCTGCCCCCATCTTGAATACCCGCCAATACCATTAAACACGATCAGCCTTACCAACCAATTAAAACTTCAGGCAACACAGAACAAAGCCATCCGCAGAGCCTCCAAACAACGTCCCCCATACACAACCAAAATTAAAGAGCTTCACGAAAAATACAATATTTTACCACTGAACATAAGAACATACAGCCAAGCACAGGCAGTATGGCACAAACTAGAAGTAATGGAAGACGAAATATACCATCGACTAAAAACAGAGGACACCAGAAGATCACACAGCTGGTGGCCAAAAAGCCTTCTCCATAACCCTCAAGAGCCAGAACTATTGTACACTAAATAGTACACAAAAGATGAGAGTATTCTACTAGTTACACAAGGACCTAGCAGACCTCTCCAACTTACACAATTATACACCACAGCATAAATGACTCCTTGACGCCAATAAGATAAAAGATGAGAGTTTTCTACTAGTTACACAAGGACCTAGTAGACCTCTCCAACTAACACAATAACAAACACCCCCTTGCTAGCTAGCTTAGCCTCCGCCCCCCCCCCCCTGTTCCCTTGAGCTCAGGCGACCTCTTAGTGCGGCCTTCACCGCAGGCAATCAGATCGTCTCTGCTAGGTGGATAGCCCACCTGCCCTTATTCTCTACTACTTTACTTCCCGTTTCATAACTTTCCATTTACCTTACCTCTTCTCTTCCTTCCCATGGCAAGCCATTGCCATTTTATCTCCATTATCATCATCATCATCATCATCTCCTTAGTCTGTACTCACCCCTGAAGATGTGAATTACACGAAAGCGCTTGGGAACTTTGTATTTCTTCCTTCCTTGTGGTTATCAGCATATACCTAGATCACGAGCACCCACAGTGATTTATTTGCATATATATATATATATATATATATATATATATATATATATATATATATATATATATATATATATATATATATATATATATATATATATATATATATATATATATAACTCGGCAAGTTAGGCGGGCGGGCGGGTCGTGTTGCGTCTCTGTAACAAAGCGTGTTCGGCATTCGGGCCTTCGATGTAGAGCGGCAGAAATTGGACAGTGATTACATAAGTTCGTCAAGATCGTCTTAGTGAGGTGAAAGTGTAAATCGATGTCGGACTTTTCATGCTAGACATGATTGTATTTTTGAAATCTCAATTTCCACCGAGTTGGAGGTACAGCCAGGGTCACAGGCCTATAACCACACAATCACTGCCACATGACAAAGCTTTTATTTTATTTTATTTTTTAGGGTGTTGTGGTCACGGCTGTGATAAAGGCCAACCAGGGAGTGTAGTACTGTGCCTTCGGTTAAATCAGTTCATAGTTGTCATCAGTGAATGCAGAAGAGACTATAATAACTTAAAGTGAATACATATTGGCAATCGAGCTGGTAAGGACAACTGCCAGCCTATTCGTGTCATAGGTGCCACAGAGACTTTAAATTTTATTTTGTTTGTGTGCTTTCCCAAGGACTGAATCTGTGTTTATAATACACCACTCACAGGGAAATACAGTGTACTCAGTGATAGTTCATAGTGTCATCAGTGACCGCTGAAGTTGTAAATAACTTAAAGTGAGCGCTCACTAGCAAGCAAGCTGGAAAGGCACCGTGCCAGCTGAAACCAAGTCGTGTCATAGGTGCCACAGAGACTTTAAATTTTATTTTATGTTGATTGTGTGCTTGCTCAAGGACTGAAACTGTGCCTACAATACACCATTCACAGGGAGATACAGGGTACGCAGTCGCAGACGACAACTCCATAGGCAACAGAGAGTAGCTAAGTACTTTTTTCTCTCTTTATTTTCTTTGAAATAGGTGTAGATCTATACACAGTCTACACCCCCCCCACAACAACAACAACCATGAGTTTGGTATGTGATTACTGCAGGGAGACGTCGGATATGGAGGATGCAGGCCTAACTAATGCAACGTCTAGGAAGTTACTAACTGCCGTAAAGCTTGATGGCTGTTGCTGGTATTGCCCTGGCTGCATAGTCAAGGTGAATGAAGCGATTGCAATCCATAAGGGAACGAGTTCTCTAGGGACGAAAATAGATGAAGCAGGAGCCCTGCTGGTTGACAAACTGGAGCAAGTTGAGAAAGAGATCCTTGCTAAGACTGAGGAAGTAGCTAATAGAATGGAGGTGGTTGCTAAGAGGAGCTATGCGGACGTATTAGGAGGGCCACGGGTGGGGGGGCGGAGAGTAATGCAGAATCAGTACAGGTTCTACAGCAGATTGGGACTCTGAAAAAGTGTGTCGAAGAAATGAAAATTAACGGACCTACTGTTAGGGGAGAGGAGGAACACCAGGAACGGCTCCAGCGCAGGAACAATGTAATAGTTTTTGGAGTCCCAGAGAGCCAGGCAGAGGGAACTGTGAGTAAGGAAACACACGACAAGGTGCTGTTTCAAAATATTTGCACAGAGGTTCTGAAGATTCCAGCAACCCCTCAGGATGTGAGGAGACTGGGACAAAAGCAGGGGGCTAAGCCTCGCCCCCTCAGGATCACATTAGGGAGTGAGGAGGAAAAATGGC